CATCTTCTTCTTCATTTTAAGAACAGAAGCAGCGCTTTCACCTTCAACCAAGCCGACGAACCAGCCCCGCCAGCCACGTCGCCAGTCCGTCGGAAAACAGCGACGAACCAGACCGAACGGATTATCACCGAAAACCAGTTCCCCCGTCGCTGTCTCTCACCTAACAACGACCTTACGCACACACACTCAAAAACGGGCAGAAACAGAGTGAGAAATTTCGAGGATAACAGTCATCCGCTTCAGTTATCGCTGAAGAGTCGAAGTTTCGGTCTGTTGAGATCCGTTCGTGAATCCTATTCACTGCCCGGTCTTCGTTTCTTCAGTCGTGTTTGAGGATTAGTCGAGGTCCGAGTTTTGTCCGACGAGGCTTCTAGTTCATCAAGGTCTGATTTGGAATTTTCATTTGCCTTTGGATCTCCCCAGCTGTAAACTTTCAAAGTCAGATCCTTCTTAAGGTTCATCTCTTAATTTACATCACTATTTTATTATATATGCCATGAATGAGTCTTTGTATTTCATTTTTGAACATTCTGTGTTATTGGCATTGAACATTGCTTGAAGAATCTTAGCATATTGACTTTATTTTAGTGTGATTAATTATTCATATGATATTATTAATTAGATGGCTAATGTGATAATTGGAATTTAAGTGAGTAAGAGTGGAAGGCAGAGAATTTTTAAACTTTGGCATCTTGAATTTTAAGCATTTGCTTTATTTGTTCTTTAATGGGGGCACACGTCAGTCTAGTTGGCATAAGGTGACAAAATATGGGAGATGGAACATTGCAATTTCTGCTGCTTTTTTGTTCAAAATTGAATAAGTTAAATAATTCATGAACACCGCTAGTATACTTCTAGGTACGCTTTTAATCTATTATTGTGGTGGTGTACACGTTCGCGTGATATGATCACGATTTTTTTTTTTAAAACAAAACAAAATCGAAGTATGTGTTCGCGCAACTTTGACTAAACTTTCTTAATAATAATAAAGCGTTATTAATTGTGGACACGTTCGCGTGACATGATTTTTGACGCGCCAAAACAAATGGGTACACATACGCGTGACTCATTTCAAGATAATCTTCTTAATTAAAAAGCGGTGAAAAGTAAGTGCACATAGGTTCTAAGTTCAGTAATTAAAAAATTTAGTTAAGCCAAGTATAATCAAAGCGACCCTGCTAGAACCACGGAACTCGGGAATGTCTAACACCTTCTCCTAGGTTAACAGAATTTCTTACCCGGATTTCTGGTTCGCGGACTATTAAATAGAGTCAATCTTTCCTCGATTCGGGATTCTAAACCGGTGACTTGGGGCACCATAAATCTCCCAAGTGGCGACTCTGAATTTTAATAAATAAATCCCATTTCGATTGTCCTTTAAAATGATGTTGGATGCCAACCCTATGTTCAAGCAACCGTTGGTAACCTTGAACACATCAATGTATGATATTCCCTCTCAATCATGTAAGTCAATTGGTGAGCATGGGGGTGAATCTGGGCAACTATCAATCTCCACTGGCAATAACAAAGGAATAATTCAAGCAAAGGTGAGGGAGATGGTTATTAACTCGAAACTATGGAACGACCTACGAGAGTATGATAATGAGGAGGGCTGGAGTGACGGAATTGCTGGTTTTTCATCTGAAGAAGATGACCAAGAGAATGACCAGGATAGTGCAGGAGAGGACATTGATGCTCCAGTCAAGCCAAAGTTTCAGGGGAAATCGGCAGCACCCAAGAACAATTTGAATTGTCATGCACTTGCGGCACCTGCAGCAAGTCCCAACAGCAAGTTGAACCATAATGCTCCAGCTTTTGTTCCAAGAATTTCTGCAAATGCAGAAGCAAAAAATTTGGGTCAAAAGGCAACATGAGATAATGTGCAATAACAACAATGCTCAGGCGAAAATTCTGCTGGTGATCGAAAAGCAACAGTAGTGCCAAAATCTGGGCAGAATCAAATTGTAACAACTGAGCCACTCATTTCATTGGAGGAGAGGAAACTTTTGGATGCAATGGTAAGCTCTACTCCTCTAAAATCCTTAAATCCTGCTACGCTTAGCACTGGTCCTGTAAGTAAGAGCAAGAAAAAAANAAAGAAATCATGAATTTTGAATACTTCTTGAAGAATTGGGAGTGTGATGAAAAAGAATTACAAATTGAAGAAATTACAAGTTTGGACAAGAAGGAACAACATTTTAATTCCTTTATCATTTTATTCTACTATTATGTTAGTATTCTGATTTGTAATATCATCACAGAATATGTTATAAACTCTGTGGTGATCACTGAATATTTGATTGTAGCTAGTTCTTTCTTTTTACATGCTTGCTAGTGAGGCTATTTTATGCCTCAATAGGATTAGTAAGGTAAGGTTTAGCCCGATTTGTGTTATATGAGTAACAATACCGGTGCTATTGTCCCCCCTTATTTCTACTTTTCCTAATTGTTGTATTTTCTTTTCTGTTATTAATAAAAAAACTAGTCCTAGGTGTTTGCCTAGCGGATTGCCAAAAAAAAAAAACCACTTCAAAACTAAATAATTAATTAACTATCGGAATCACCAATAAACAAGCAACAACCGCTTCAAAATCAAAATGTTGGGCATGTGCTGGCACATGCCATCCCCCATCTAGTATAATAGTATAGGATAAAATTGTACACTCGTTTCAGCCCGAATCTTTCATTTCTAAACGGGATTGTGTGTCCAACGACCGAGACGAAATTTGGTGGCGTTTGGCTTTCTTTGTGTTCAACGACCGAGACGAAATATAGGATATAAAAGAACCAATTTCACTTTCTTTGTGTACCAATTTCACTTTCTTTGTGTTCTACTACTTCTTTCAGACTTTAATTTGTGTGTTGCTGACGAGTTTCATGTTAGGTTTTCTTACCTTTTTGAGCTATGCAACCCTTTTTGTCTTTTACCATGTACCTACATAATTCTCATACGACCATCAGTCACCTACCTTGTATACGGGTAAAACCAAAGTTAAGGAGCACTCTGATTTTTCGGCGAGAGAAACGAAGTGAGGACGTAACTACAAGGAATCAAAATCAAAGCTGGGAACCTCCTATATCAAAGCTTAAACAAAGCACCTACCCTCAGAGCCATTGAGACTAGGCTCCCGGACCCGATTTCGAATAACGATGCCAAATATCTGCATACGAATTAACAATGGGTCGTGATATTCGTACCCGACCAGATATCACGGCGTGAATCTCGACCCATATCAGCAGTTAATCAGTGATTAGCGAAAAGAAAGATTTTTACCTTTCTTAGTATTGTACTTAGGGTAAAACTCCCCTACTATATAAAGAAAAAGTTTATTATTCAATACACATGTTGTAACATGCATACCAAGGCAACTCATATGTTTTCACTATTTCTAAAGTTGAACAAAGCTTTTACCTTTGTTCATATGTATCATAAGTGTTGGCTCCGAACCGAAGGCAGGCTACTTATTAAGCTTTTAACCGAGCCAAGATTCAGTATCATCACTGGTTCGACTATTTAACCGAGCCAAGATTCAGGCTACTTATTAAGCTTTTAACCGAGCCAAGATTCAGTATCACTCTAGTTGTGGTGATGAGCCCCGTGACCGAGCCGGTCGTAGATACCATGGTGATAACGATAATGGAGAAGACAGTGAGGAGGGGCATTCTCTACATAGAAGACGACGACCTTCCTCGACTCAACAAAATGCTTAATCAATTAAACCAATTCGCTCGTATCTAGCTACAAGTTACTTAATTACATCAATAAACGCTAAATGAATCAATCCCAATGCATGAAAATGAATTTTTCAAAGTTTTACCCAAAAAATCAAAAATCGCCCCCGGGCCCACATGGTCAAAACCCGAGGTTTGAACCAAAACCCGATTACCCATTCCCCCACGAACCCAAATATATAATATGTTTTGAAATCGTACCTCAAATCGAGGTCCCAATCCCCAATTTTTGAAAAAACCTAGGTTCTATCCAAAATACCCAATTTCCTCCATGAAAATCATTGATTTTGATTTGAAATCATGTTAAAAGATGTTAATGATTGAAGGAAACAAATTTAGTGTTAATTATATCTATTATTTTTTTTGACGGTGACATCTTTAGTGTTAATTATATCTATTATTTTTTTTTACGGTGAAATAAATCTATTATTATCACCATGGTGACTTCTTTTATTTGTTTATCTAACATCAACTTGTATTGAAACTGTTCACATATCCTTAAAATCACATATAAATTCAATTGTTATTCATTTTTTTAGAGTAAATAGTTTGGCGCCCACCGTGGGGCTAAGGATAATAGTGGTAGTTTGATACAAATTTCTATAACGCACTATATTTTATACATGTTCTTGGGATTTTAATTTCAGATCTACCTAAAGATGTTCTGCTCACTTCAACGTTGATGTTGAGTCTGGCCATCATGGTGAAAACAACAATATAGCACCTAGCAACAAGGTGCCTCCTCTGATCCTAACGGGGTCCCAGTTGCAGACTCAATCGATGCCAACTCGCATGTGGCCATTGACGCCAACCTGCCGACCGACCCTAAGAACTAGGGCTGCTTAACGGGCGGATTGGGCAGATTATTTACTCTTAACGGTTTGGCTTACCGGTTATCTGCTTTTAAATGTATTAATCCACTAGCCATCCAATAAGATATCGGGCGGATTGGTATCGGTTTAGTTCTTATCGGGCAGTTTATCGGCCTAGCATACAAATTCAGAAAACGAAATTACACCGGACATACATGTCTGTTAAAAAAGCAGAACACATCATTTGAGATGAAAAGGCTGCTGCTCATTTCTCAACAAGACCAAATTGCTCCTTAAGCCTTTGAACTTTCACATGAATCCAATACCAGTTGTTGGTTTATCAGCCGTGTTGACATAACTCTGCATTCCCTAAATATACAAACTATTTTACTACTTTATGAGCAAGATAGATAACTCAACTAAAAATATGAAGGAGAAAACACTGGAGATATGACATGCTAGAGGATCAAAATATGGTACTTCAATTAAATGATAACCAAACAGAAGTTTCAGTATCAATGATGCATATAGCATATTACAACGTCCTTACTGATAACAAAACAAACATTTCAGTCAATGACACATTTAGGACATATAATGAAGTCTTTCGTAACCAAATTTCAGCATCAACTATAACTGAAGCTTTTCTGGCCAAATAAACTTAGGGAGCCTGGGTAGAAAACAACCAATAAACCCGAAATGAAACGCGAAATTGTCAAAAGAAGTGTCCAATTTCTGTACTCATATGTACTGCAGCAATTAAAGTCGCAGTCTCACTTCACAGTCTCACCTGCAACCAGTATACGTAAACAAGCAAGGATAATCACTAATCAGCATTGATAATAAATACAAAGAAAAAGCCACTCCAAAAGGCAAAAACATTTTTAATCAAATACACTGAAATAACTCAAAGCAACTTAAAACAAAGGCAAATTCTGTGTTAATCCTTACTATCAAAGAATCAAGTTGTAATGGACCGCAAAGCATCCCATGTTGTCAGAAAGATCTCCTCTTCTTTCATTTCGTGAAACAATCAATGGCACTTCTTATTTCAACAACTTTTGGAACAGAAACCCCATGAAATAATCGAACAAATGTGTCAAACTGAATCTAAAATCAACTAATCAATACTCAGATATCCAAAATTTCTGTAAACCAACAAATCGTTTGGCAACAAATTAATAACGAATACCAAGCACCTAAGACAAATCAAATTCGGGAACAAGTTAAAACACTGAATTCGATCGATCATTGAAACTTACCTTTTGTGGAAACAAATCCATTGCTAGTTCAGTATTGCGAGTGTAAAAAAAAAGTAGGACCTTTTCAAATAAACAGGAAGGACCTTTTCTGAATTCGACTATCTTTTTGCTTGCTTGTGGAAACTTTTGCAAGTAAAATCACACTCAACAAGAAAAGAAACTTACCATCTGCTGACTGTGGCAAGAGGGAGAGGCGAGACGGGGCGAGGTGGCTGGTGAAAGTCGACGAGGACTGGTGGCTGCTGGTTTAGGGCCTTAGGCGTTAGTGACGGGTTTCTGTGATTCTGTCTTTACTCTTTTTGATTATTTAGGAATTAGGTTTAGGCGTTGCGTTAGTCTTAGAGACACAGAGTACTGGAACTCTCTGGAAGTGGAAGGGTCAAGAGTTTTTGTCTTTTTTATATTTAATATATATATGGATAAAAATAAATTTATATATATATATATATATATATTCTTAATGGGTTAACGGGTTAACGGATTATCCGTTAAGAAAATTAAATAATCCTCCCCCAAAGCTATAAGCCGTTAATAAAAAAAATTCAATCTGTTCCCCGTTCGTTAAGTCGTTAACATGATACCAGTAAGCTATTAAGCTTCGGTTCGGTTTGGTTTTCGATTTCGGATCGGCTTTAAACACCCCTACTAAGAACAGTGTTCACGGAGTAGCCCGACCAATGACTCAAGGTACGCCCGAAGGTAAAGTCTACGGGATCAATCTGCGGGTGATCTTCAAAATGTTACAAGCCCAACAGGAAAACGATAGCACAGTTGCAGAACCAAAGTCGCGCCCCTAGCAGAGTTGAGCCCGAACAATCCTGGGAAAACACCTAAAGGAATTAGCAAGTCACAAAAAGGCCGGACGAAACTGATCCCGGGACTAACCCCGGACGAAATTAATAAAGATGCTTGAGGAACTGACAAAGCGGGTGGAATCGGGAGAAAAGAAGATTGTGGCCAATGACAATAAAGTGGAGATCTATAACTCCAGAGTTGATCAAATCCCGGGAGCGCCCTCGATATTGAAAGTCCTGGACTCTAAGAAAATTGTCCAAAAGCCTTTCCCTCCGAGCGCGGCACCGAAGCCAATATGACAAAACCGAGTCGGTTTTGCTGAAAAAGTTCGGAGAAACTCTGTCAAAAGGAGCAATGATGTGCTATCACAACTTGCCCCCAAATTCTATTGATTCATTAGTTATGCTTGCAGATGCCTTTGTAAAAGCACACGTCGGGGCCATCAAGGTCAAGACCAGAAAAGCAGGCCTTTTCAAAGTAAATAAAGAGATATCGAACTTCTCAGGGAATTCGTATCGAGGTTCCAAATGGATGGACCTGCCTCTGATTGAGGATGATTGGGCCGTTAAGATATTCACTCAAGGACTCAAACCCTAAAGCTCCTTAGCTTCACAACATTTGAAACAGAATTTGATAGAGTACCCAATGGTAACTTAGGTCAACGTCCATAATAGGTACCAACCGAAAATCAGAGTCAAAGATGATTAGCTCGGGTCCGCCTCCCAGTCTGTTTATCCAATCAGAACTAATTACATGTCTAAGAGAGTCGTCGATCATGAACCAAGACAGAACAGAGACCGGTATCAACCATTTAGTAGAGCAGAAGAGGTAACGGATCTAGGCGTAGCCCTGTGAGAAACGAAAAAAGGAACAATCGAAGCCATAGTGGTCGGGGACTCATGAGAAAAAACGGTTTCAACAGGCCACTCAAGGCTAGGGAGGCACCGAGGTTATCAGAATACAACTTTAGTGTCGATGCTACCAGCATCGTATCTGCCATCGGGCACATCAAAGATACCTAATTGCCTCGGCCATTGCGGTCTGACCCTACCCAAAGAGACCCTAACTTGATGTGTAAGTATCATGGCACTCACAGCCATAGAACCGAGGACTGCCGACAGTTAAGGGAAGAAGTTCCCCAGTTATTCAATAACGGGCATCTCCGGGAATTTATGAGTGATCGAGCCAAAAATCACTTCAGGAATAGGGACTCCAACAAACAGACCGAGCAAGAAGAACCTCAACACGTCATCAACATGATCATTGGAGGAGTCGATGTCCCCCAAGGACCAATGCTAAATCACACTAAGATGTCCATCAAGAGGGAAAAACGAACCCTAGATTATATCCCGAAGGGAACCATTTTATTCAACAATGAGGACGTCGAAGGTATCGTGCAACCACATAATGGTGCATTGGTAATATTTGTACTTATAAATAAATATCGAGTTAAGCGTGCGTTGATTGATCTAGGTAGCTCATCCAACATCATCAAATCGAGGGCCGTAGAGCAGTTGGGTCTACAAGACCAAATAGTGCCAGCAATCCGGGTTTTAAAGGGATTCAACATGGCATACAAAACTACCAAAGGAGAAATAACCCTGCTAGTAAATGCCACCGAGACAATTCCGGATACTAAATTCTACGTGATTGAGGGGGGCATGAGGTATAACGCCTTATTCGGAAGGCCTTGGATTCACAACATGAGGGTAGTTCCCTCAACACTACACCAGGCACTAAATTTCCCCACTCCGGGAGGAATAAAAATGGTCTATGGAGAGCATCCGGCCTCAAAAGAAATGTTCGCAGTCGATGAAGTGATCCTGATTTTGCACTCTCGACATTAAAGAACATGAAGCTGGTCATTAGGAAAGAAACCAAATAGCAATCATCGATACAGGTCCCGACCGAACTAGAGAAACAAGGAGCAAGCGAGGATGATGATTACGGAGTATCTAGGTCGTTCATCGCCCCTGATGATTCTGATGCCATCAAATCAACGGTCGAGGAGCTAGAGCAATTCACATTGATAGAACACTTTCCCGATGGGAAGCTATACCTGGGAACGGGGGCAACTCCCGAACTCAGGAAAAAAATCATTAAATTCCTAATATCTAACATAGATTGTTTCGCTTGGTCCCATCTTGATATGACCGGGATCCCGCCAGAGATAACCACTCACAAGCTAAGTTTGGACCCGAAGTTCCACCCGATTAAACAGAAGAGGAGACCTCAGTTTGAAGTCAAGCATGCATTCATCAAAGACGAGGTATCTAAACTCCTTAAAATAGGTTCCATTTGGGAAGTTAAGTACCTGGATTGGTTAGCTGACGTAGTGGTACTACCTAAAAAGAGAAATAAGTTAAGAATGTGCGTAGATTACAAAGACTTGAACAAGGCATGCCTGAAAGACTCTTTTCCTTTGCCTTACATCGATCGCATGATCGATGCGATGGCTGGGCACGAGATATACAGTTTTCTCAATGCCTATTCCGGGTACAACCAAATCTAAATGGACCCTCACGATCAAGAAAAAACTTCCTTTATAATGCCGGTGCCACCTATCAATGCCTAGTAAACCGGATATTCGGAGGATGAATAGGAAAATCAATGGAGGTTTATATTGACGACATGCTAGTTAATTCCCTGCGAGTAGAGGACCATTTGAAATATTTGCAGGAAACCTTCGACATATTGAGGAGATACAATATGAAGCTCAACCCAGAAAAATGCGTATTTGGGGTCAGATCCAGAAAATTCCTCGGGTTCATGGTATCCAACCGAGGGATCAAGATTAATCCTGATTAAATTAAATCCATAGAAAACATCACCGCGGTGGATACTGTTAAGGCCGTTCAGAGGCTAACCGGGCGTATAGCCGCCCTAGGCCGATTCATATTGAGGTCCTTAGACAAAAGCCATCGATTCTTCTCACTATTGAAGAAGAAGAATAACTTCTCTTGGACCCCAGAGTGCCAGCAAGCCTTGGGAGAACTCAAATGGTACCTTTCGAATCCACCCCTACTCCATACTTCGAAAGCGGATGGACTATTGTACCTTTATTTGGCGGTATCCGAAGTGGCGATAAGTGGAGTCCTAGTCCAAGAAGAGGAATGTACACAATTTCCTACTTATTTTGTTAGTAAAAATCCAGGCGAGGCCGAAACAGGGTATCCTCACCTGAAAAAAGTGGCGCTCGCTTTGCTAAGCACCTCTAGAAAGTTGAAACTGTACTTTCAATGCCACCCTATATGTGTCGTAACCTCTTACCCACTAAGGAACATTATGCATAAACCTGAACTCTAGGGTCGATTGGCCAAATGGGCCGTAGAAATTAGCGGGTACGATATCGAATATCGATACTGAACCGCCATCAAATCAAAAAATTTGGCAAACTTCGTGGCTGACTTTATGTCGTCCTTGATACCCGAAGTCAAAAAGGAATTTTTGTTAACCTCGGGGACTTCCTTGAGGATCTGGACCCTCTTTACAGACGGTGCTTCGAACACAAATGGGTCCGGACTCTGCATCGTATTGAAGCCGCCTATGGGAAATATAGTTAGGCTGTCTATTCGAACTGTAAAATTGACTAACAATGAGGTCAAGTACGAGGCCATGATTGTAGGTCTCGAAATTGCTAAAAGCCTTGGGGCTGAGGTGGTCGAAGCTAAGTGCGATTTCCTCCTTGTGGTAAATCAAGTTAATGGGACATTCGAAGTAAAAGAGGAACGAATGTGAAGGTATTAAGACAAATTGCTGGTAACGCTGCATCAATTCAAGGAATGGACCCTTCTACACGTGCCTCGAGATCAAAATGGCTAGGCCGATGCTCTGCTAACTTGGGGTCATCGGTTGATGACGATGAATTCAGCTTAGGAACAATCGTACAACTCATGAAATCGATAGTGGATGAAGGCCATGCCACGATAAACTCAACGAGTTTAACTTGGGATTGGAGGAACAAATACATAGATTATTTGAAAACTAGGAAGTTTCCCTCGGATCCTAAAGAATCAAGAGTTCTACGCACGAAGGCGGCCAGCTGTCCGAAAGGACTTTGTTCAGCAGAACATTCGATGTCCCGCTCACCATATGCCTGGGGCAAGGATATACCATATATGTCTTGAGAGAAGTTCATGAAGGCACATGAAGGAACCATTTGGGGGCGGAATCTTTGGTTCGAAAGATAATCAGGGCCGGCTACTACTAGATCGACATGGAGAAAGATGCAAAGGACTTTGTACGAAGATCTGACGGCTGTCAGAGACACGCACCAATGATCCATCAACCCGGAGAGCTATTACATTCGGTTTTGTCCCCATGGCCGTTCATGAAGTAGGGAATGGACATCGTCGGTCCCCTACCATGGGCACCTGGTAAGGCCCAGTTCATACAATTTATGATCGATTATTTTTCTATATGGGTCGAAGCTCAAGCATTCGAGAAAGTCTGGGAGAAAGAAGTCATTGACTTCATTTGGGACCACATAATATGCCAGTTCGGGATACCGGCCGAGATAGTGTGTGATAATGGGAAGCAATTCATCGACATCAAGGTAAACAGGCT